TTGAGCTATAGGCGCCGAGCCAAGCACGGCCATCTTAATTCCACCTGCCAGGATCAGAACTCCACTCTTAGGATAGGCTGAGAACAGAACTCCCACACTCCACAGGCACTGGTGTCAGGGGGCACTGTGAGACCTGCCCCTGAAGGATTCTTGTGCGCTTTAAGATCCTAACACAGCAGGGTATGAATCCTGAGGAAACAATCAGGCAATCACTGAAGGCAACTATGTTTGGAGTAAGGACCATAGAAGTTGCTGGCTGCGCTCTCTATCTCCTAAAAAAAGCACAGCACCACCTGGTGTCCAGGTGGCATATTACAACATATTGTCATCAAGAGCAAGGACTTCTATTTATTTGAATTTGTTCAGGCTAAGGCCACTTTAAGACCTAAGCTCTGAGGCAAAGTAATGTGAAGCAAGGGAAGCAATGAGAAGGAAACAAAAGGACAAGGAGGTGAACAAGAAGAAAGAACATGTGAGGAGGAACCAACAGAAAAGTTCGGGCAACATGAAAAACCAAAACTGAGGAACTTCCCCAAAGGACCATGAGGCAGCTACTGCAGAAGACTCCACCTATAAAGAATTGATAGACTTGGGTGGTGCCTGTGGCTCAAAGGAGTAGGTTGCTGGCCCCATATACCAGAGGTGGTGGGTTCAAACCCAGCCCTAGCCAAAAACTGCAAAAAAGAGAGAAAATAAAGGGTGGTGCCTGTGGCTCAAAGGAGAAGGGCACTGGCCCCATATACTAGAGGTGGTGGGTTCAAACCTGGCCTGGGCCAAAAACTGCAAAAGAAAAAAAAAAAAAAAAGGAAAAGAAATTAATAGACTTAACAGAAAGGGAATTTAAAACATGGATGATAAAGACAATAAAAGGAATGGATGAGAAAATGGAAAGACAGAACCAAAAGTCAGACGAGAGATAGGTAGAATATAGAAAGGATATGACAGAGCTTAACAAAATGAAGGAGAATGTAAAGATGCAGTAGAAAGTATCAAAAATAGGCTAGACCATGGGGAAGAAAGAACCTCAGAGCTAGAGGGTAAAGTTTTTGAGTTAACCAAAAACAGTTAAAGAGACAGAAAAGAAGAGAGAGAAAGCAGAACAGGTGCTTAGAGAACTATGGGACTCCATTAAGTGTTCATACCTACGAATCATAGAGATTCCTGAAGGGGTAGAAGATTGTCCCAAAGGAAGGGAAGGCCTATTGGAGACTATCATAAAAAAAAAAAAAAAAAACTTCTCAAGTTTTACTAAAGACCCCAATGCACTCCTTTCA